CATTTAGAGTTAATTGTTTAACAGAAAAGTTTTCATCACCCATTTTGTCTCTTATAACTGTGGCTCTAACATTCCATAGTCTCTATTGTATTTCTAGAACTTGCTCAGTTGCTAACGCGATTTTATAATATTTGATCTGTTTTATTAATTCTAATACTTGAGTCATATTTGGCAAATAGCACAAGATGTACCTATTAATTTTCAGGTGTGGTCTATAGAATTAAGTACTTTTGAACATTGACCTATGCTGAACAATACGTAATCGGAATATATTCCACGTGAAAAACGCGCAACATTTCCATGTGCCTTAATACTGGCATCACAATTAATATTTATAGAATGTAAATAACCAGTGGGATATAAAGATCTTGCCAAATAGAGAGTTAAAGATCCGTTACCCATTCTAGCTTCCATTATTTGAGAATACGGGTGTAAATCAAGTAAGGCCACCTAAAATAATGAATTAATGATAATAAGAAAACAAAAAGTCAGATAAACCAAGCTGAAAGTCACATTACTATAGTACTAGCATCTTTCGGATATATAGGTATCATCAAACGTGGTATCATAACAACGTACCTAAATTCATTAAGCGAATCAGTTTAATAAAGAAATAATACGGTAGGTATAACAAATTTAAATACATATTCATCCAAAGTAGGGAAATATATAGTATATGACTTATTTGCAAATGTCAAGCATTCATCATTAAAACAAGAAAGTTAATTATAAGATTAAATAATAATAAATACCTTTATTAGTCTTTACAATATCTCTAACAAACTTTCCAATAATATTAGAATAATCCAAAATACCACCTGGAATTTTTTTTTATTACCAATTTTTAATGGGCCAATTAAGAAAACTCTTAAACTTTTAATTCTTTTTTGAGTATCTCGTAAAAGTACCATATCACCTTCGAATCAAGATCTACAAATTTTTGTAAAATTTGAGGAAGAGGTGGAAGAGTGGCAACTTCTATTTTTTTTTTTTTTGACATTAACATTAAATATAATAAAATTTTATCTATAAATAAATTTTGATAAAATACCCGAAGCTACATTCTTGCTTGAGGTTTTTTTTAAGGTAATGTCACATTTTAAGACATTTGCACTTGCACGTAACCCATTTTTTTGACTCGTAATCTCGGAAAAAGCACGACACGTTATGGTTGGAAAGGAGGTGAATCGATAACGTAAAAAGAAATGATTCATTATCGCTATTGTTACAGGGTGAATCGTATCCTTTTAATAAGATAAACACAAAAATACAATAATTTAGGTAATAAGACAACTCGCCAGAGGCGTGACAATGGTGATTTGACAATAGTTTAGTTTGTTAAATGATATTATTAAGGTGATTTATTCAATGTATTATGTAGGAAATATTACAATCCCGTAGAATAGTTATCCTTTACAAGAGAGAAATTACAGAGTTTTTATAACTTTCACTATCCTAATGATCTCAAGAGGCTTAGGGATAAATCGAATCTTCATCACGAAGAATTAAGG